GGTGAGGGGCATGGACATGAGGATGGACTCGATGCGGCCGCCGGTCTTGAGGCCAAAGGTGGTGCCGCGGTCGTACACCAGGTTGAACTCCACATACCTTGGGATGAGGAAAAAAACAGCGTGTGTGGGTTGGTGTGTGTGAGTTTATGTGAGAGAGAGTGTGTGGGTTTGTGTGCGAGTGCGTGCTTGTGCGCGTGCGTGTGCATGTGCATGTGCGTTTGCATGCTCATGTGTGGTGTGGTGCAGATTGCAATGAAGGGGCCTGTGCTTGGGGTTTTCCAATTGTGTGTGGCCGGCGCTCATGGCGCACAGCAATCGAGTCATTGCACAGGCAGGGCAGGCTGCGAAGCCGCAGGGCCCAGGGCGCAGTGCGGCGCGGGCGCGAGGCCCCTGCCTCGCCGGCCGCAGCCGGGCCCTGGGGCTGATGTTGGGGTCGTTTTGAAGGAGGGCTGCCTCACCTGCCGCGGCGGACCTGCTGCCAGGCCTTCTCCTGCTCAGTGTAGGGGTCGTCCTTGTGGCGAACAACCAGCGGCGTGTACGCCTTCACCTGAAGAGGTTCACATATTACGACGTTGGTGGTTGGGCGGCACCCGTGAGAGCCGTATGAACAGAGGCCGCGGGCGGGTGGCGGCGGAGGCGCTGTGGCTGAGACCACCACATCGCGGCGGCAGCCCCCGGCCCTCTGCGCGATGACCCGCCCGACCGGGGCCCCTGGGCAGCGGCCACAGCCGCGTGAGGAAATGAGCCCCCCGACCCATCCTGAGCGCGGCCCCCGAGCACGTCCAACATGCCCCTGCCCTCACCCCGGCGGCGGCTCCCTCTCACACCCCCCTCCCCCCCGGTGTACACAGCGCCGCCCCCGCCGGCCCGTCTCCCCTGCCTGCGACTGCCTTTGCACACCCGTGCCCCCGGCCGCCGTCAGCCCTCTGCGCACCACGCTGTTGGCGGCCTCAGTGGAGAACGCGAAGATCTTGTCGGGGTCGCGGTCGTTGAGGTCGTCAAAGAAGATGCCCCCCAGGCCGCGCGTCTCCCCGCGGTGGCCGATAAGGAAGTACTCGTCGCACCTGGTGGGGGGAGGACACGTGTTTGTGTGCGTGTGTGTGTGTGTGTGTGTGTGTGCGTGTGTGTGTGTGTGTGTGTGTGTGCGCGTGCGTGCGTGTGTGTTTGGATGCGGTCCAGGCGTGCGTGCGACAGGCACTGCATTAGGTGTGCGTGCGACCAAGTCGCACTGAGGCTTGTGCACGGCTGCAGCTGTAAGGGGTTGCATTCGCGAGGGCGCCCAGACCAGAAGAGCCGGGTGCACGGGGCGCCCGGCCGCAGCGCGGGCGGAGCCGCGGGAGCGGGGCTGCGGCGCCCGATGCCGCCTGCCGTCTCCATTGCTTCTGGTTCCAGGCGGCTAACCGAGCAGCACGCAGCCCCCCCGAACGCAACCAAAGCCGGCAAATTCTAAGAAACCCAAAATATTGAATGCGGACGCACCACTTCTTGAACTTGGGGTACCAGGCAGGGTCGTGGCGGTCGCACACCTCCTTGTAGGTGCCGTGGAAGTGGCGCATGTCCTCCTCCACCACAAAGTTAGGGGTGATGTCGGTGCCGCCGCCAAACCACCACTGCCCAGGGATGCCGTTCCACTCCTCGGTCTCAAAGTACCTGCCGACCGGGGGTTTTAAGAATGTTGGTTTATAGATTCGGCGGCAAGTGGTACGTGTGGGTGTCCTTTGGGGGCGCGAGGAACGGCAGCTGGGCCAGGCTGACCGCAGAGCATGGCGCGATGGTCGGCAGGAAGTGATTGCCACGCTGCGGGCGTTAAGAGTTCGGAGCCCTGCCAAAAAAAAGGCGGCCGCGGCTCGCGCGCGGCAGCAGGCCAGGCGGCAGGGAGGGTAGTGCAGGCGCTGCTGCTGACCTGTAGTTGAAGTGCATGGTGGGCGCGTGGGGGTTCTTGGGGTGCATCACGCTGCTGATGCCCGCCGCGAAGAACGGCACGCGGCTGCTGCGGTGCGGAAGGTGGGG